TCACAAGATAATATCACTTAAGGCAAGGACCGGCCATTTTCACTTATTTTGTGGTGGAATGTCATCGGTTAAGGCAAAGCAGGGCATTTGCACTTCTTTTGTGATTCTTCAGTTACTTCAGGCCATCTGGACGTATACGTGCAAGTCACAGGGGATGTGATGGCTTGGCTTGGGCTCAGAGGCCTGACATTCCTGCCTTCTTATATTAATGAGAAAAATAAAACAAAATGGTGTGAAGTGTTGGGGCAGTGAAAATTTTTTGGGGGGTGCTATGGAGAGAGAATGGGCGATGTTTCTCGGGGCTGCTTCAAGCGGGATTAGGGGCGGCGTGGGAACCCAGAGTGGGAGAGATGAAGCTGAAGGAAGGTTTTGTGGTCAGGGGTGATATTGTGGGGTGGTTAGAAGAAACACTGGTCGTATTGAATGATTGGTGATGGCCTGGATGTGGTTTTGTATGAATTGAAAAACTAAACGGAAGACACAAGGTCTGAATAAGAAAAGGAGAGAAAACAGGTATTAAAGGACTAAGAATTGGGAGACATCTGATTAGAGTGCTTAAGGAGGCTCAGCATAGCCTTGCTAGCAAAGATTATTTGTTTACTTTAAGAGGGAATTTAGAGTGGCGGTTTGGGATAGCACTAGGAGATACCAGCTGTGATGGCTTGGAGAAACAGTGTAAACCGGCAGTGTAAACACGAGCAGGGCATTTATGAGTAGTTGAGAACGGTGAAGAGGAGTATGACTGGACAGAAGACAGTAGGGATGAAAGTGTTTTGGGGTGCAGTCTAAGTTGGTCTGGTGTCTGGAATGAGACTGGGACTTAATAAAAAGGAGTGTCCACAAAGGTGCTCAAATGGGCTGGAACTTGTAGCATTCCGAGGACAGGCCTGAATTCTGAGAAGGGAAAGTGGTAGAAGTATTGTTTAGTCCTTTGTAAGTTGGTGACTGAGCTTGGTGAGGTGTGTTTTTAAAAGACCATTAGTCCGTTCTGCCTTTCCTGAAGATTGAGGACGGTAAAGGATATAAAGGTTTCACTGAATACCAAGAGCCTGAGAAACTGCTTGGGTGATTTGACTATTAAAGGCTGTAGAGAGGTAGGAAGGCCAAACCGAGGAATTGTGTCTGACAGAAGGGAAGAAATGACCGCGGTGGCCTTCTCAGAGCCTGTGGGAGAGGCCTCTACTTATCCAGTGAAAGTGTCTACCTAGACCAAGAGGTATTTTAGTTTTCTGACATGTGAGTAAAGTCAATTTGCTAGTCCTGGGCAGGGGCAAATCCCCGAGCTTGGTGTGTAGGAAAGGGAGGGGGCCTGCACAATCCCTGAGGGGCAGTAGAAGAGCAGATGGAACACTGAGAAGTGATCTCCTTGAGGAGAGATTTCTAGGATGGAAAGGAAATGAGAGATTCTAAGAGATAGGCCAGTGGTTTGTAACCTACATGGAAGAGGCTATGAAATGATGACAGAATAGAATGGGCCTGTGAGGCTGGAAGGAGATATTTTAACCATTTGCCTTGTGTGGGAAGAGATTGATAGGTGGAAGTGGCCAATGTGAAGGAGGAAAACTGCCGTGAGGGATAGAATTTGGAAAACTAGCTGCTTTTTTATCTAACTTGTCAGCATAAGCATTGTCCTGAGCGATGGTTGGGGGAAGAAAATAGATTTTGGAAGTTATGAGAACTGTAGAGAGTTGAGCATAGTTTGTGATTTTTAGGGCCTCTAACAGTATTAAAGCAGTGGTAGCCACTGCACGCAGACACGAGGGCTAGGCTAAAACAGTAAGGTTAAGTTGTTTGGACAGAAAGGCTACAGGACACAGTCCCGGATCTTGTGTAAGAATTCTGATCACACTAACCATGCCTAGGAAGGAAAGGAGTTGTTGTTTTGTAGAAGGGATTGGGGTTTGGGAGATTAGCCGGACACGATCAGCAGAGAGAGTAAGTGTGTATTTATGAGAATTATGCCGAGATAGGTAACAGACGAGGAAGAAATTTGGGCTTGACTGAAGTAATGGGGGCTGTCCGTGAGGCCTTGCAGCAGTACAGCCTAGGTAATTTGCTGGGCCTGATGGTGATGGGTGTCAGGGTCAGTCCAAGTGAAAGCAAAGAGAGGCTGGGATGAAGGGTGTAAAGGAATAGTAAAGAAAGCATGTTTGAGATCCAGAACAGAATAATGGGTTGTGGAGGGAGGTATTGAGGATAGGAGAGGATATGGGTTTGGCACCACAGGGTGGATAGACAAGACAATTTGGTTGATAAGGTGCAGAGATCTTGAATTAACCTGTAGGGCTTGTCTGGTTTTAGGACAGGTAAAATGGGGGAATTGTAAGGGGAGTTTATAGGCTTTAAAAGGCCATGCTATAACAGGTGAGTGATAACAGGCCTTAATCCTTTTAAAGCGTGCTGTGGAATAGGATATTGGCATTGAGCGGGGTAGGGGTGATTAGGTTTTAATGAGATGGTAAGGGGTGTATGATCAGTCACCAAGGAGGGAGTAGAGGTATCCTATACTTGTGGGTTAAGGTGGGGAGATACAAGGGGAAGACACAAAGGAGGCTTTGAACTGGGGGAAAAGGCAGCAATGAGGTGTGGCTGTAGCCTAGGAATAGTTAGGGAAGCAGATAATTTAGTTAAAATGTCTTGGGCTAATAAGGGAACTGGGCAGGTGAGGATAACTAAAAAGGAATGCATAAGAGAATGCTGTCCAAATTGGCACCAGAGTTGGGGAGTTTTAAGAGGTTTGGAAGCCCGGCCATCAACACCCACAACAGTTATGGAGGCAAGGGAAGCAGGCCCTTGAAAAGAAGGTAATGTGGAGTGAGTAGCCTCCATATTGATTAAGAAGGGGACGGACTTACCCTCCACTGTAAGAGTTACCCAACGCATCTGTGATGGTCTAGGAGGCTTCCGAGGCGATGGGGCAGCGTCAGTCTTCAGCCGCTAAGCCAAGAAGATCTGGGAAGGAGTCAGTCCGAGCCTTGGGCCAGAGCGCCAGGAGCTCTGGGAGTGGCTGCCGGGCGAGTTGAACAGTCCGATTTCCAGTGGGGTCCCGCACAGATGGGACATGGCTTAGAAGGAATCACGGGCTGCGAGCATTCCTTGGCCCAGTGGCCAGATTTCCAGCACTTGTAGCAAGCTCCTTGGGGAGGAGGTTCTGGAGGAACCCCTGGCAGCTGCAGTTCAGGTGTTTGGAGTTGTGTGCTGGAGATGTGGCTGGGGTTGTCTCACAGTGGAGACAAGGAATTGCAACTCAAAATAAGTTGCTACTTGGCTGCCTCTACTCTATTATTGTACACCTTGAAGGCGAGGTTCATTAAGTCCTGTTGTGGGGTTTGAGGGCTGGAATTTAATTTTTGGAGTTTTATTTAATGTCAGGAGCAGATTGAGTAATAAAATAAAATGCATATTGAGAATAAGACTGCTTTCTGACCTTTCAGGGCCTAGGGCTGAAAAGTGTCTCAGGGTTGCTGCTAAACGGGACATGAACTGGGCTGGGTTTTTTATATTTGATGAAAAAGAGCCTAAACGCTCATTTGGAAGAGGTTGGATAAAGAAAAAGGAACATTAACCTTGACTATGCCTTTAGCTGTAGCCACTTTTTTAAGAGGAAATTTCTGGGCAGGTGGGGGAGGGCTAGTCGCGGAAGGAAACTGTAAGCCAGAAACTGTAAGCCAGACCGGGTGTGAGGAGGGGAAGTGATAAAAGGATTACAGGGTGGGGGAGCGGAGGCTGAGGAAAAATTGGGACCTAGCTCGGCCTGGCAAGGAGGGGAGAGGTCAGATGGGTCTGTAGAAAGGAAGATTAGAAAGACTCAGCGACGCTTGGGGTTGGGGCTAAGGGGACAGGTGGGAGGGAAAGAGGAAGATTTGGGACGAGTTGCTTTGGGAACAGAGACTAGGGAGCGACCAATGTGTAAAAGAATGCCTGGACGTCAGGCACCTCAGACCGTTTGCCCATTTTACGACAATTATTTAGATCTTGTAGGATGGAAAAATCTAAAGTGCTGTTTTCTGGCTATTTAGAGCCATTGTCAAGTTTGCATTGGGGCCAAGCGGTGTTGCAGAAGATAAGGCATTTAGGTTTTAGGTCAGGTGTGAGTTGAAGAGGTTTTAAGTTCTTGAGAACACAGGCTAAGGGAGAAGAAGGAGGAATGGAGGGTGGAAGGTTGCCCATAGTGAAGGAGGCAAGCCCAGATACAACAGAGAGTAGAGATACAAAGAGAAGGAGTTCGGGGGTCCTTGTCCTCCAGAAAAGCGGGAAAGGGATCGGGGCGCGGAACTAAGGGATTGGGGCACAAAAATAAGAGGTCAAGGAGCAAAAATAAGAGGGGGCGCCTTATTATGTAGTTGAAGCCTCTGGGTAGCAGGCTTCAGAGAGAATAGATGGGAAATATCTCTTATGAAACCTAAAAAGGTGCCAGATTCTTAATCTCTCTTGGATCAGGAAAAGACCTAGAAAGGGAAGGGGATTTTCTAGAGAATGTAGATTTTCCCTACGAGAGGTAGCTCTGCAGGGCCGTTTCAAAATATGTCAAAGAGGCTGGGTGCAGTGGCTCACACCTGTAATCCCAGCACTTTAGGAGGCTGAGGCAGGATTGCTTGAGCCCAGGAGTTTGAAACCAGCCTGGGCAACATAGCGAGACACTATCTATAAAAATCAATAAAGAAATAAAAATAAAAATATGTCAAAGAAATATATTTTGGGATAAAATACTTTGATTTCTTTCAGGGCCTGCCATCTGTCATGTGATGCTATACTAGAGTGATGTTAGAATTTGGTATCTTATTGCTAGAGTCTGTTCTATCCGTCTTAAGATCTCATTTTAATGTTAATGCTGGTCAGCTGTGCCTGAATTTCAAAGGGAGGAGGGGATAGAGAGGCATAGCTGACCTCTGCTTCGTGACCTGAACTCGTTTTTCAGGTTGACTTTGGAATTTCCTTGGCTGAGGGAAGAGATCCATTTAGTCGGTTGTGGGGCTTTTAATTTTATTTTTGGTTTACACAGGAGACAGGGCACACCAGGCAGGACCACACAGGGATGCACCAGGTTGGTCGCAATGCATGGGGATGGGTGGGTGAGGTGTGAAGAAGAACATTTATTGTGCCTTCTGTAGGAAGGTGTGGGCCAGGCAGCGGCAGCAGGCTGAGGGCTGGACAGTGAATAATTTCAGCACACTGTGGGCATAGGGGCTGTTCCTAGCAGTCTGGCACCCAGCTCTGAGATGATAAGGGCAGGTGAATGGTGGCCTGGAGCGTGAGGACCAATGAAAGAGGTGGTTGGGGGTGCGGGTGCTGGATGAGTTCCTTTGAATAAGAAAGGTACATCCTGGGTGAGTTGTTTACTATCTCCAGGAATTGGCCACAGGATCAGTGAGACCCTGGATGCCGAAGTATCAGAGAGAGGGTAGAAATGGCTCCTCTCCTCCCTGTGACATGCAGCCCTGCAGGCATCCAGGACAAAGCTTTTCCTGGGGCTATTGAATGTGACAAATCCAGTTCATCGATTACGCCCTGCACATAAAAGGCAACACAACAACATGTCACTAAAGACACCTCCGACTCTGCGCTGCCACCCAGCAGTGTGAGGACCACATACTCATCAGGTGTGGAGCCGATGCACAGACACGCGATGGCAGGTGAGGAATGCCTTCACAGCTTCTCTACATGCCTTGGTTTTAGGCAAATCAGAGCAGAGTAGCAGAAGAATAGTACATGCTTAAGCCATAGATAATTAAAAAGCAAGCAGGTCTTGAACACTATAGTGCATTATTGCTACAAAATTTCTGGGAGAAAAATACCCAAAACTAGTGCAGCAATTTCAGCCAGGGTGCCTGACCTTTTCACCTACTTGGTGTGAACCCAAAATATCTGAGACGGGTCTCAGTCAATTGAGAAAGTTGATTTTGCCAAAGGTTAAGGACATGCCCGTTAACACAGCCTCAGGAGGGCCTGACAACATGTGCCCAAGGGGGTCGGGGTACAGCTTGCTTTTATACGTTTTGGGGAGACACAATACATCAATCAATGCATATAAGATTGATATTGGTTCCATCCGGGTGGGACAACTTGAAGTGGGGAGGGGGGAGCTTTGAGTTTTATTTTTGGTTTACATAGGACTGCTTTTCTTTCTTTTCTCCTCATGGGTCCTGTAGGATCTATGATAAGATAATAGGTATTTTATGCTCCAATATTCTTATAAATCAAGGACATGAATATCCATTGATCTCAGCTTCTGGTCATTAGAGATAAGCAGTGTTTCCATGGTGACGCTGTTTAATTCCAGCCAAAAGCAAAGGAACATGATGTGTTGGTTAGCCTGTGTAGCATCGTTGCAGGCTGATGGGTGACAATTCACAAACTTGTTATATGCTAAAAATAGGCCACGAAGCCCCCGTGGACTCACCCTGTTACTGGTGGAAGGTGTCCGAGTTACTGGCAGTGAATCCATACAGGTCTGCACCAACCTCAGTTCTTGCCTCCTCAGAAGAAAGAATTCGACTGAGGGGCACAAGGCAGAAAAAGAGACCCAGGCAAGTTTCAGAGCAAGAGAGAGCAGGAAAGAAAGGAAAGTACACTTACTTGCAAGCGTCTCAAGCTGGCAACTTGAAGAACAAGTGCGGCATTTAAATTTGATCCTTGGACTTTATAGCCTGGCCCACCTCTGGCATTTTGCAGCCCTTTCCCATAATTCTTCCTTTAGGGTGGGATGCCCACATGCAGAGAGGGGTCCTGACGCCTGGGAAGTGAGCATGCGCAGTGGGTTTAGGAAGTGGTAGGCGGCACGCTCCCTTTTCCGGTGGAGGCCCCCGGAAAGTCATATTCCACCATTTTGTGGCTTAACGCGCATGCCTGAGCTCACTAGCCCAATAACTGAGACTTTACTGGAAGCCATTTTTGCTTCTCCCTGGCACCTGCATTAAATTAACACTTTAACGTTAACAGCTGTGGCTCTTCAGGAGATTGTCTCTCCCTGGCGTAGGGTGCCGAATAATCACTTTTAGAACGGCAGTGTGATCAATGTCACACCATCACCTGAGACCATCACCTGACATTCCTGGTGGGTAGGGGAGAGCCCTCTCCTGCCCTGCTCATGCCTAACTACCTGTACCAGACCCCAGTGACACCCTAGAGTCAGGATGTGTGCTTTGGAACAATGGACCACAGCTAGAAAAACTCAGAGCAGTTGAACTCAAGTACCATCTGCCAGCTCCATCAGAGTAAAGAGAACCTCATAATGTAACTACCCAATGGACTCTTCTTGCCTGCTGCCCAGATAGAGCCTATTTATTAAGGCAGGGGAATTGCAATGGAGAAAGAGTTTAATTCACACAGAGACAGCTGAACGGAGACTGGGCTCTTATTATTACTCAAATCAGTCTCCCCAAGAATTCGGGGGCTAGGGTTTTTCAAAGGTAGTTTGCAGAAAGGGGTGGGGGTGCCTAGGCAATGCGTGCTTGCTGCCAATTGGTTGGGGGTGCCATCAGAGGGGTGTAGGAAATGGTCCTCCTGAGCTGAGTCGCTTCTAGGTAGGACCACAGGAGCCCTTGGGGAATCCAGGTGGAGCCATTATCAGTGTGAGACATGCAGAAAACCTGAAAAGATATCTCAAAAGACCAATCTTAACCTTCTACAGTAGTGATGTTATCTGCAGGAATAATTGGGGAAGCTGCATATCTTGTGACCTCCGGAATAATGGCTGGCAATTGTTTATGTCTCCACCTTAGCCAAATTCAGGTTCCTCTATCCTCCTAGCCTGGTGGCCTCTCATTAGCTTTACAAAGGTGGTTGAATTTGGTGGAAAGGCTATTATCATTTAAACTAGAAACTAAATGTTTCCCAAAGTTAGCTTAGCCTAAGTCCAGGAATAATTAAGGGCAGTTGAAGGCTAAAGGCAAAAGGCCAGATCAGATCTCCCCCAAAGCCATAATTTTGTCACTGATATAATTTTTTGCAAAGGCAATTACAATAAGGATAATAGTAATATCCTTACATGTTCCACATACCATGACACGTATTTCCTATGCATTGCTTCAATTAATTTTCATATCAATCTTATGAAACAGGATCCTAGAGATGAAAGCCAAGGTCCTGCTGAATGGGAAGCCAGGTTGAGATCTTAGTCCTTCCTGACTTCAAAGCCTGTGCTTTCACTCCTGTGTTATGTTGGAATGCGAGCTTTGAGGATCTCTGGGAAAAAAAAAAAAAAAAAAAAACTGTATTAATATGCTCAGATAGCACAACAAAATACCACAAATTGGGTGGCTTAAACAGACATTGATCTTTTCACAGGTCTGTGGGCCCTGTAGGTGCCCTCAGGGTTGGTTTCAGGTGAGGGCTCTCTTCCTGGTGTGTACCCAGCTGCCTTCTTGCTGTGTCCTCATGCAGCCTTTTCTCTGTGCACCTGCAGAGAGAGAGAGAGAGCGCGCTCCAGTGTCTCTTTCCTTTTTTTTTTTTTTTTTTTTTTTGAGACGGAGTCTTACTCTGTCACCGGGCTGGAGTGCAGTGGCGCAATCTTGGTTCACTGCAACCTCTGCCTCCCGGGTTCAAGCAATTCTCCTGCCTCAGCCTCCCGAGTAGCTGGGACTACAGGCACGCACCACCATGCCCAGCTAATTTTTGTAGTTTTTGTAGAGACAGGGTTTCACCATGTTGTCCAGGATAGTCTCCATCTCCTGATCTCATGATCTGCCCACCTCAGCCTCCCAAAGTGCTGGGATTACAGGCATGAGCCATTGCTCCTGATTTCTTTCTCTTCTTCTAAGGATAATTCAGTGGATTAAGGCCTCATTTTTAGGGCCTCGCTTAACCTTAATTACCTTTTTATATTTACCTTTATTTCCAAATACTGTCACATTGTGGGGTAGGGCTTCAACCTATGAATTTGGCGGGGGACACAATTCAGTCCATTCCAAAAGTCCTTGCAGTTTTGTCATAGGCGTGTGAACCAGAGCAACTCCATCTTGAGTAGGAGCTGGGCAAAATGAGGCAGAGACCTACTGGGCTGCATTCCCCGACAGTGAAGGCATTCTAAGTCACAGGATGTGACAGGAGGTTGGCACAAGATACAGGTTATAAAGACCTTGCTGATAAAACAGGTTGCAGTGAAGAAGCTGCCTAAATCCCACCAAAACCAAGATGGCCACGAGAGTGACCTCTGGTCGTCCTCACTGCTGCGCTCCCACAGGCACCCTGACAGTTTACAAATGCCATGGCAACATCAGAAAGTTACCCTACATGGTCTAAAAAGGGGTGGCATGAATAATCCACCCCTTGTTTAGCACATCTTGAAGAAATAACCATAAAAATGGGCAACCAGCAGCCCTCGGGGCTGCTCTGCCTATGGCATAGCCATTCTTTATTCCTTCACTTTCCTAATAAACTTGCTTTCACTTTATGGACTTGCCTTGATCCACAGATCTTTCTTGTGCAAGATCCAGGGACCCTCTCTTTGGGTCTGGATCGGGACCCCTTTCCTGTAACATTCCTAGTGTGTACATGGCCACCTTCTTGCTCTGTCCTCACGCAGACTTTTCTCTGTGCACCTGGAGAGAGAGAGTGAGCTCTGCTGTCTCTTCCCCTACTTCTAAGAACACCAGTCCAGTGAATTAAGGCCTCATCCTTAGAACCTCTTTTAAACATTTGCGTGTGTGTGTGTGTGTGTGTGTGTGTGTGTGTGAGATGGAGTTTCACTCTGTCACCCAGACTGGAGTGCAGTGGTGCGATCTCCACCTCCTGGGTTCAAGTGATTCTCCTGCCTCAGCCTCCCAAGTAGCTGAGACTACAGGCACATACCACCATGCCCAGCTAATTTTTGTATTTTTAGTAGAGACAGGGTTTCACAATGCTGACCAGGCTGGTCTCGAACTCATGACCTCAAGTGATTCACCTCAGCCTCCCAAAGTGCTGGAATTACAGGCATGAGCCACTGCTCCCAGCCTGGCCTCATTTAACCTTCATTACCTCCTTACAGACCCTGTTTCCTAATGCAGTCACACTGGTGGATAGGGCTTCAACCTGTGAATTTTGTGGGGGACACAATTCAGTCCATTCCAAAAGTCCTTGCGGTTTGTGTGGATCCACTCGGGGGCCGCTGCCTAGGGGAGGTAGGTGAGGCAGCCTGGCTGTGTTCCTCTCCTCCCCGGAGTCACACTCACCTCACAGGTCCAGGCACCTGGTCCCCAGGCTTACCCATATGGAATAAGGTGGTTTTTTCATTATAAGGCAGATTTGTCTGGTATGGCCTTCTTTGTTCTTCCAGAAAAACACCAGTTTGCAAGCAGAAACATCCTCAGCGTGGAGGAGTGTGGTCACATGTTGAAAATGTGGGAGCTTGATTCAGGCAGCTCTGAATTCAAGGACTGGTTCAGTTGCCTACAGGCCATGTGACCTCGGGTAAGTCACGCAGTCTTCCTGAGCCGCACTCTTTCCATGTCAAGATGCCCCTCCCAGGGTTGTTGTGGCAGAGGCGTAGATGAGGCAGCTCTATGATGTAAGTGACCCTGAAAAGGATTCAGAAAACATCAGGCATGTGCTGGGCTATCGGTTGTACCACTGGCCCTTGATTGAAACACTGGGTCAGAGCTCAAAGCTTCTCTCACTTCGCCACGTGCTTCAATAAAGCCCGACAGCATCTGTGGGGGCCATCTCCTTAGGGTCCCCAAGGCGTTGCTACAAATGGAATACCTGCCCATTTTGCAGACCTTTTGTTGTCAACATTCAGTTAACTTAGAGCCACACTCATCCTCCAGGACCTGCAGGGTGGCGGACAAAGGCCGCATCCCCTGAAAAGCAGGCCCTGGTCTGGCTGGACTGGTCTGAGAGCCAGCACTGGCCCCAGGTTAAGAGCAGAAGGTCCCACGGCTGTCCTGAGAGGCTCAAAACTGGCCATTTCCATCCCTGGGCTTCTGTGTCATTAACTCTAAAATGACGTTGAGACCTTTGGTTCCCATGGGGGAATGAGGGTTTCGTGTGTTGCCTAAAACATTGGCCCAACCCTCTTGATCTGAGCGCAGACCGGGAGCCAATAGACTAATCAATGCCAGCTTCACTCTCTCCCTGCCCAGGCCAGACCCCAGGGAAGAGCAGGACTTGGAGGGGGACTGGCGGGCAGGATGGACACTGGTATATGGAAAGCAGTGCTGCCCAGCGAAAGGGGTACCCCGTACGGATACACCAGCCTCTGATGGAATCTAAGTTCTACTTCGTGTTTAACTTATCCCAAGGGCATGCTCCAATCCTGGAGGTACTGCAGCATACCTCAATGTGTGAAGTACTCTCAGCACACTCCGATCCCATCTCCTCCTCCAAAAACTCATTTGATTATTGTCCTCTAGTACAGGATGTATTGATACAGGAGCTAAAAAGAAATTATTTCGGCAGTTAATGAGGGTAAGAGAGTCCTTGGTAAGGTTTCCCTTTTAATAAAAAGCAGTCCCCAAATCATTTCTTTTCTAACAAAGAGCAGCCCGAAAAATCAAGCTGCAGACATAGAAAAGCAAGCTAGAAGCTCGCACGGGTGAATACCGGCAGCTGTGCCAATAGGAAAAGGCTACCTGGCGATCAGGCATGTGCAACATGGAGGCTCCGTGTTCCCTTCTTTGTCAACCATGTGTGCAGTAAAGGAACAGGCCACATGGCACCAACCAGGTAGAGAACCCATCTGCGTAATAAAATATTAGGATGGGGCAGCCAGCTTTGTGCTGTGTCAGTGGCCTGCCTGCTCCAACCAATCTTTGGACCCTATGTAAATCAGACACCATCTCCTCAAGCTGGTCTGTAAAACCCTGTGCCTTTCACCACGAAACCGGAAGACCCACTTGGGAGCCTCTCTTGCTGCGGGAGAGAACACTTTTCTCTTTCCTCTTTCTCTCACCTATTAAACCTCCACTCTTAAACTCACTTCTTGTGTGTCCGCATCCTTGATTTCCTCAGTGTGAGATGACACTGCTTCAGTATCAGATGTTAAACTGATAGCAGATGCTACACTTGATCTTAGCCAAAAGGCCCAGAAGCTATTGAGCCCTCCTTCCTGCTCTGTGTACCTGGGTGAGTGTCTGGGTATCTATAGGCCTCAGTTTTCCTTGTCTGTAAATTGGGCACAATACCACTTTTTCTGCAGTGTCGCAGAAGGAGCAGATGATCCATGCAGAGCACATGGTTAATATTAATATATAGCTCTTAATAAGTAGTAGTTATCATTATCTCTCCATTGTGATGTCACTTATATCTCTCCTGGAGATGGCTTCAGGTGTTAAGAGAATGAGAGCCCAGTCCTTGGAATGCTGCAGAATTGCAGGCTGCAGAGGAAGACGGCTGAGCACACCTGGGAATATGGCTCTTGTGAGCTGGCATCTCCCAGCACATGAGGACAGGGTCCTCCCTGACACAGAATCCCCTCCTTGAAATTCCTGGTCACAGACACAGAACAGGCCAGCAAGGCAGGCATGTTGGCCAGGCAATGTTTTTCCTTTTGCAGTCAGCATATTTGCCTCAGGAAGAGGGGACTTTTCTACACACTGATGTCCCTCTGTTTGTCCCTTCACTGGAGAGCAAGCAGGTATGATTAAAGTCACTGGGGGAGGAAGGGACTGGGAGAAAGAGCGTTTCTCGTATGCATTCCTTCCTAACCTCTGCTGGACTTCACAAGTGTCCCTGTAACTCCTCCAGATTGACAAGGCTCTAATGGCACCTCTGACACCTTGAGCCTGGGTTGTCAGCTAGGACAGGGAGCCGCCCACAACATGGAAGCCAGAAACAGGCTAACTGGTGGCCGCTTCTTGCTCATCCATGGAGGGGGAAAAGCGAAGCAAGGATGAGGCATGGTGGGGAAACCCTGGTCAAAACTCTCTCGCCCTGAATATTCCCATTATGGGGCAGCTGCCTGGATGGGGGCCCCCTGACGCTTGGCCTGGATTAATGAGCCAGGCTCTGGTCAGCAGCCCGGGTCTGCAGGATCATGAGGCTTATCGGGGTCCTCCCTGAGACAGGGTTCTGTTAGGAAGGAGGAAGCAGACGGAAGGTGAGCAGGCGGCTGATGGTTTCCACAGTGCCATCATGGAAATCTTACATCTGAAGTGAATTGATTTCACCTGATGGCTGAGCTGAAGCATGTGTGGCCAGAAAAGACCCTTGTACGAGACCGGCCTGTGCCTCAAAAAAGGATGTCAGTCCAGGTTCTTTGCACCCACAGCGGTGAATGCATTGTCAGAGCTGGGGAGTGGCCTGGCAGGCTGAGGGGAGCTGCTCATGGACAAGGGCCATTGTTATCACCCATAGCTGTGATGGTACACAGGATATCTGTTCTGCCAGGAGGGGCAGTGGAATCAGCTGTGTCCCGGGTCTCTCCCTGTCTCTCATTCTCTAGCCCAGCCATTTACCCCTATTGCTTATGGAATCTCAGCCCTGGAAGAGATGTTCTATCTGCCAGGAGCTCCACCAGCTCATCTACAATCTGGCAAAAGTGCCAGAAGACAGAAGTGTCCCCAGAGGGAGCCCTAAGCAGCCAGCATCCCAAATGACCACAGATGTCTGCTTCCTGCCTGAGTGAATTTTCCTTTCTCAGAGATGCAATACCTCATACCTCATTGACTTGTGTTATCTTTGGAATGACAATGGCCTAACTAATTGGGAATGCATGACTTCAATAAACAGTTTCACCAACTGCTCTTTCTAAAACTGTTTTCCAGGTCAACCAGTATATGAGAAGCAGTTAATGGTTTGAGTTTTAGGAGAGAACAGGTCCTCTTCATTCTCTGCCCCAAGGTAGCTGCCAACATCTCATAAATCCAGGCTCACATGATAGCCTGAGCCCTAGGATGACCACTGGAATTTATTCCTTCTGTCTACACAAATGGATGTTGGTAATTTTCTGGAGTATTGGGCCAGAGGCATTCTGAAGCCACACCGGAGAGAGCCCTGTGTGTCATTCACAATGTCTGCCACATGCAGAGGAGAGAAACGGCACGGATGCCACACACGAGATATCCCAAGGCGAAGTGGTCAAGGGAGGCCTTCAGTATATACCATATATATCCCAAGGCCAAGAAGCAGGTACTGGCCAGGCACAGTGACTCACACCTGTAATCCTAGCACTCTGGGAGGCCGAGGCAGGTGGATTTCCTGGTTTCAGGAGTTTGAGACCAGCCTGGGCAACATGGTGAAACCCCATCTCTACTAAAATACAAAATATTAGCCGGGCGTGGCAGCATGCGCCTGTAGTTCCACCCACTCAGGAGGCTGAGGCAGGAGAATTGCTAGAACCCGGGAGGCAGAGGTTGCAGTGAGCCAAGATCATGCCACTGCACTCCAGCCTGGGCAACAGAGCGAGACTCCGTCTCTGAAAAAAAAAAAAGAAGCAGCAGCAGGTACCTATCTGCTGGAAGGATACAGAGTCCCACAGAACCACGCCACTGCCCAGGCTGGAAGAACTAACTACGGCGGTGAATAAACATTCCCCCTCCCTATGCCTTCCTCATGCTCAGGGACACAGTCAAGAACATTTTTCTGAATTAAGCTTTCTTTCTAATTGGATACTGATGGCAAAAAGAATGTCAGTTTTGGCTGGGCACAGTGACGCATGCCTGTAATCCCAGCACTTTGGGAGGCCAGGGTGGGTGGATTACATGAGCTCAGGAGTTCAAGATCAGCCTGGGAAACAGTGAGACCTCGTCTCTACCAAAAATCAAAAGAATGAGCCAGGTGTGGCACATACCTGCAGTCGCAGCTCCTTGGGAGGCTGAGATGGGAGGATTGCTTGAGCCCAGGAGATCGAGGCTACAGTGATGTATCGCTGCTGTAATTGAGACTGTAATGATCACGCCATTGCATTCCAGCCGGGGTGACAGAGTGAGACTCTGCCTCAAAAAAAAAAAAAAAGGGGAAGAAAAAAAAAAAAAAAAAAGAAAAAGGATATCAGTTTTATCTGTATGTGTTTTTGTTATTCTCTTTTATAAAGATTTGGGATACATGGCCTATGAAAAGAAAAAAAATCAAGACAAAGCCTAAAAAGTAGGCATTTTGGCTCCTCTGTGTATTTGCCATGGGTGTCATCTGAGAGAAAAGCTCAAATTACATTAAACTCATGAGTAATTTGATGGTGTGCAAACCAAGGAATGAAGAAATCTCGCAACACAGTTTTGTTTTCCGGGGCTGAGTTTCCCGAACAGTGAGTTAGAGCAACCCTCGTGACCAAATTGGTCGGCCCTGGAATCCCAGCTGAGCTGACCCAGGCTCTGCAGGGAGAAGCCCGGCCTCGGAGCAGCAGGGGTGAGGCTCTTTTCGTGCAGCCTGGAAAACAGCCCCACCCAGTCAAAGAACTAGTCAGCCATTTCCCCAAAAAAACGATGCCAGGCTGCTGGGGCCTCTCCCCAGTCAGAAGCTCAACTGAAGCCAGAGCTGGGTGGACCCTCGCGCACCAGGAATAGCAGCTATAATAACAAGGATCATTGTGTGTTTTGCTGCTTCATGAAGCAGAGACATTCCTCATGCATTTTGTCCTGAACACAGGTAGGAAGGAGGGAAGGCAAGATAAGAAGAAGGTGGCTATGGCTGCCTCCAACCCAGACACTAGGAAACCTGGGAAAAGAGAGCAGGGGACCTAAACGTTTAAACCACCATCATGCTGGCCGCCATGTTTTAAGCAACTACTGTAAGGTCAGGGCTGTCTTCAGTTCTATGAAACCTTTTTTCATTTATAGTCACAATAGCCCTAGGTCCACTGGATGGACAAGAAAACTGTGGCTGCAAGACTGATGTTGCTTGCCTGGGTCCCGTACCTGGAGTGGCAGGGCTGGGCTCACGTTGAGGCAGCCATGCTCTTCCTGCAGCACTGGGAGGCAAGCCGTCGTCTGCGATGGGGAGACCAGCAAGAGAGAAGTGGTGAAGGTCTTGTCACAAGGACGGAGGGATGCTTTTAGCGTGAGGGATTTTACTTGGAAAATGTTCAAGCTTATATGATTTTCTAGGGAGGTTTTCTTTCTTAATGCATTACATTCTAAATTCAATGCCCTGGAAGATATTGAATAGATGGGACAAAATCCATTAGGCTGGATGATTTATGGCTTTTCAGCATTTAGCAGGAGCGGCTTTCAATGGAAATTGTTTGCATGCAGTGGACCATTTTAGAATTTGTCTCACGTTGCCCATAAGTGATTCGTGCCATGCTTCCCGTGCCTCTTTTTGGGAAAAGGGGAAACAATATCAACACAAAGCAAATTCAGTGTCCAGTACCTTTGTCCTTTGCGAACCCCTGCTCAACCATCCCATGCCCGTCTCTGTCATCTCTGCACTTGCTGGGCTGCATTTTACTGACCAGACAGCAATGGCTGTGACACCTGATCCATGGTCAACAGAAGGCTCTAGCCAGTGTTCATCCAAGAGGTTTAAACAGGAGTTAGCTAAGTTACTTGGTTTTTTGGGGTTTTGTTTGTTTGTTTGTTTGTTTTGAGACAGGGTCTTGCTCTGTCACCGAGGCTGGAGTGCAGTGGTGCGATCATAGCTCACTGAAGCCTCAAACTCCCTGGCTCAACAATCCTCCCACCTCAGTCCCCCAAGTAGCTGGGACTACAAGCATGCACCACCACACGAGCTAATTTTTTAATTTTTTTGTAGAGATGAGGGTCTGGCTATATTCCCCAGCCTGGTCTAGAATTCTTGGGCCTCAGACTCCCAAAGTGCTGCTATTACAAGTGTGAGTCACCCCACCCAGCCTCGCGAAGTTACTCTTTATCATTCCTGCTCCTTTAGCAAAAGAAGCTTGTGCTCTGCCGGCTCGCCCTGCTCAGGTCAGAGTGCATGCCTGCTCTACCTCTCTTCCTGCCTGGGGAAGGAGAAACACCCCCTTTTCCCACACCACAGCGCCCACCGCCTGCTCAGAGCCATGGCTCCATCCTTATATTATTTTATTTACTGCCTGGCGCTTGCTAGGTGGGAAGCATCCAGAAGGAAGCCAGGTTGTAAGGGACAGTCTCGCCTCTGTAGCTCCTAACACCAAGGTCTTACGCACAGGAAGTGCTCCATAAATGTTTTCTTGAAAAAGTAGGTCACGTGCAAGGAACTGAGGCTGAGCAGGGCATGTTTAAGGATGGGCCTTCAAAGTATAGCTATAGAAATGCCACTCAGGTTTGGCATGAGCCTCTTATTTTTTTCAAAATCTTTTTTGGTTTTATTAAATGTTTTATTTTTATGGATTTAGGGGTACAGATGCAGTTGTTTTACATGAATATATTGCACAGTGGTGAAATCGGGGCTTTTAGTGTGCTCATAACCCAAATAGTGTACAACTAACCCAAGAGGTGGTCCCTCACCCCTCCCCCCTACCCACCATTTGGAGTCTCCAGTGTCTGTTATTTTCCTCTGTAGGTCTGGGGATATGCACATATAAATAAGAATGTGGAGTTTTGGATCTTCTGTTTCTGAGCCATTTCACTAAGGATAATGGCCTCCAGTTCTATCCATGTTGCTGAAAAAGACAGCGTTCTTTTTTATGACTGAGTCGTATTCCATGATGTATGTACGCACCACTTTTTAATCCAGTCGTCTGGTGATGGGCGCTTGCGTTGATTCCAGGACTTTGCTGTTGTGAGTAGTGCTACAGCTGACAGTGCAGGTGTCTTTTTTATATAATGATTTATTTTCCTTTGGGTATATAACAACCAGTAGCAGGATTGCTGGATCCAAGGGTAGTTCTATTTTTCCTTCTTTGAGAAACCTCCAGACCATCTTCCACAGAGGTCATACTAACTTCCATTCTCACCAACAGTGTATGAGCGTTTCATTTTTCCCACATCCTTTGGGATCCTCTTTGAGCTCAGATCCTATATCCCTCTTTCTCTATGCATTCTAAAAAGACACCATGGCAAGAAAGATATAACAGGCTTTATCAGCATAAAGAAATTATCCATCTATGGTGAGCATAGAAGTCTTGAATTAAAAAATAAAAGCTAGATTGGTTTGGTGTAATTCATATGGTGGATTTAGAAGTCTTGAATTAAAAAATAAAAGCTAGATCGGTTTGGTGTAATTCATCTTAGACATGTGTGGCCAACTACTTTATGGAACAAGTGAAACAAACATGAAATTGCTTTATTTTCTCATAAACATCTAGTCCCTTAGTGATCCTATTCCGATTCCATCTCTTGGATGACACAGGGGTTTTTTTTTTCCAAAATCTTGTCCACTCCATTTTAATCCACTTCCATTGCACATCCTCGCCTCCTAGCAGAAGGAGTAGCAGGTCCCAGCCTCAGAGCCTTGGTTTGCAGAGGGGTGAGGGTCTTTGCCCAACTCCTTCTTCCTCCTCCCTTTTCTCCCAATGTGCTGTGAAGGGAAGAAGGGAGGCAGAGGAGACCAAAGTCTATTCAAGCAGTGCCACTGGGGTCTTCCCTTGGCCATTGTTGCCTGCTGGGTAGCAGGCCCTTTCTGTGGAAGTTGCTCAGGGGCCTCCCACCCGCAACACCCTGATGAGGCAGTGTGCTCTGTGCTCTGGCCCGGCCCACTCTGACCCCATGCCCGGGTCCTGCCCGCAGGGTGCACCCCACCACAGATTGCCTCTTGCTCCCAGGAAAATGGCAGAGAAGCTCCCGATCCTCCCAGAATGTCCTCAGCCAACCATTGTGCTCACTTCTAGGTGAGAGCGCAGTGGCTTCACCATGGACCCATCCTCTACCATGTCAAGTAGGCACCCCTGGAATGACAATAAAATAAGGTTTTTCCAGAGTGGCTCCAGAAGCAAGAAAATAGACATTGTCTCTACCCTTTTCCAAGCTCAGGGTAAAATGGTCTCATTCTTTCATAATAATTACAGGGTTAGCCATTATGTTAATGGAGAAGAGCCAAAAGCCAGAAAATACAAAATAACAGTCAATCCTAAAGCACTTACACATTATCTTGAAATTAAGCCAAGGATTTAAAGACAGAAGCAAACCCATTTAAACTCTGGCAGACAAATCTGACTCAGGCGTGTCTTTTCCTGCCTCAGTCTCAGTCTTTCCTGGCACTGAGTGACAACAACTCAGTTAGATGCGAAATGTGCTTAGAAGAGAACTCACTGAAGATAGTGCTGTAACAGCAGAGTCGTGATTAGAGGAGAGACGCACACACACTGGAGCTCAGTGATGCTCAAAGGAAGGACAGTGTGAAGGTGAATTTGAGCTTCCAAAATGAATATAAAAGAGTCAAGATGGCTGGGCATGGTGGCTCATGCCTGCAATCTCAGCACTTTGGGAGGCTGAGGTGGGTGAATCACGAGGTCAGGAGTTCAAGATCAGCCTGGTGAACATGCTGAAACCCCGTCTCTACTAAAAAATACAAAATTAGCTAGGCGTGGTGGCGCATGCCCGTAACCCCAGCTACTTGGGAGGCTGAGGCAGGAGAATCACTTGAGCCTGCCAAGTGGAGGTTGCAGTGAGCCAAAGGTTGCAGTGAGCCGAGATTGAGCCACTACACTCCAGCCTGGACAACAGAGCCAGATGCTGTTTCAAAGGAAAAAAAAAAAAGAGTCAAGACTTGAGCCTCCTCATTCTTGGATGTTCTTGAATATTCATTAGCATGTCTGGTCACAAAGATTTGCTATATGAAATGCTATATGAATAATGAAGGATATTGTTCTCCTTTAAAAATAAAGAGCTGTCCCCTTCCAAAACACTACATCCCTAAGAGTCGCAAATAGAAGAGCCCTAATATCCTCATGTCTGCTGCTGTATACTTTGTTGATTGCAACTAGAATCCATCCCCCCCTTTCCCTTTCCTAAGGGGTTTCAGATTTTCCTTCAAGCAGCCTCTCCTGCCTCATGCAGCCCATGGCTTTGGGAGAGGCAGGCCCCTCCCTCAGGAAGGCCCTGGTTAATCTAAAACAGAGAAGGGAGTGATTGTATCTCACAGTGATGGGTGTAGGCATTGAGTATGGCATTCAGACAATCACAACATTGGTTCAGCAATGGCCTGGGACCCAGTTGGGCTTATGAGACACAAGAGAAGATTTGCTAGAGGAGTCTCTCTCCCTCTGACATGTGGATGCAAGCTCTGGGACTGTGGGACAACATTGTCACCATGAGAGAAGGCAGCCCAAGGGGGATGCTGACCCTCTGAGTGGCAGAGCAGAGAAATAAGGAGAATCCAGGGTTGTGAAGACACCACACAGCCCGTTACCCAGCAGACTGTGAAGCTGCCCTGCCTGTGGCTTCCTCAGGAAGGCGAGCCAGAGATCCCCTTACTGCCAAGCCAGTGTGTTTGGGGTTGTTTAACAGTATACTGAGGCGGGAGGACAGCTTGAGGCCAGGAGTTCAAGACCAGCCTGGTTGACATAGCAAGACCTTGTTTCTACAAAAACAAAAGCATCCTAACTATGGTGATCATGTAATTCCTTGCCCGAACCCAGACACCTTTGAGTGAAAGAGGCACTATTAATAATTATAGCAGGGGCCAGGCACAGT